CTGTACTTAAAACACTTTAATTTAGACAAGTCACCTACTTTAGGCCTGAGTTTTCTTACCTATAAATTTAAGGAGGTTGGAGTGCACATTCTATATGGGCCCTTTCAACTCTAAAATTCCATGAAATGCTACCTGTTGCTTCAGTGTTGTAGTCTAGAAAAATCCCTTTTTGGCTTGGTAGATCTTAGAATTCCCTCTCCCTTTCTATCTGTTGGATCTACATTCCCAACAAGAAAGAGGATACGCCAGCAAATAGACAGCATGTTAAAGAACAATCCATCAGCCTCACCTTCTGTTTAATATGCTTTAAAACTCAAAGAGGCAGCTGTGAAACCCATCAAGCTAAGAGGAGACACTTCCTGGGTAACTCCCACAGGCTGCTAATCTGCCTGTAAAACTGTTTGCCTCCTGTGACCTATTGCTCAGACATTTTTGACGAACTTTCCTTCCAGCCCACTGGGAACCTGGACTGCAAGACCCATTCTTCCAGTCAAAGAATCAGACCTAAAGGGGAAGTCAACAGAGCAGAGAGAGATGCCTCTCCTGGGGCTACCCACGGCCTGCTTTTTCTCTCAGTCAAAAGAAAAACAGCTGGCCCATATCACAGAACAGCCTTAGAAACAAGGTGATGGACAAAACAAAGGTGTCCATCAAATTGCCAAATGTTCATGTGTATAAATCTGTTCTCTTTTAAGTGCTGCTGAGTATTACGTGAAAGTGAGGAGAACTTCTGATGGTCCCAAATACCAAAGCAAAGAAAACCACTGAAAGGTGTTTTGTTTTGTTTTTTAATAGTCCCAGATAGGGTATAGCTAAAGGAAGGAATAGTCATCTTGGAAGAAAGAAAGCAGGGACACTGAGGGCCTGGCTGCCTCTGGAGAAAGAAAGGTGGTACATGTGGGAGGCATGGATCATGCATCTTCACTAAAGACTCTCTGAAAAGAAGGGCTTTGGGTAGATGTAAAGAAAACTTGGACTGAAAATCTTGTGAAACTCTGGAATGGTAATAATTGAGGAGTTGACAATGCAATCTGCCAGTACTGTTTTAGTGGCAGAAAAGTGCTACAGTAGATCAAGTTCTGGAATTGGAATAAGAAAGACCTGAGATTGAATGCTGTCTCAGACTCTCATTAGCTGTGTGACTCTGGGTGAGTAACTTAACCTCTCTAGGCCTCAATTTTCTCATCTATAAAATGGGAATAATAATATGCCTACCCTCCCAGGGTTGTTGTGAGGATTAAATGAGATAATATTTATAAAGCACTTCATAAACCTTATAACACTATATAAATGCTAACTGTTATTATTATGCATAGGAGTGAGAAGATAGCATAGAAATATGATGGACACAGTCTGTCCCCTAGACTTAACTATATCCCTTGAAAAGGGATTTTAAGTTTTAAGTTAGTTTCATGTAGAAGTCTTATAGGATGTAGGATTTGCTTTAAAAAAAAAAGGAAACAGAAAATAAATCTTGATGAATTCAGATCACTGGGTAATTTGAGTTAAGATTGCTGAATGGAAGAGGGGATGGTCAGCTGTTGTTTTGAGCCAACTCTTGTTTGTTGTCTAGGCATCAACATTAGAAGGTAAGCTCTTTGTGAGTAGGGATTGTTTCATTTTTTTCTAGAGAATTCTATTCCCAACTCCTAGCACAGTGCTAGGCACTTAATAAATACTTGCTACTTGAAGACTGATGTGCCAGGCCCACTCTCTGCCAAAGGCTAGAGCCTGGGATCAGTGATTATTTCAAAATTCAACCCCCATCATCTTTCCCACCATCAAGAAAATTGACATGTCAGCCACATTGACCAATCCTCAAATTATAAGAGAGTTTAAAGTTTCTTTTGAATCCTTTACTCCTGTATAGAACTACGTTAAAAGAACCAGAGAAAGGCTTCCAGCATGTTGAGTTGACCCCCTCTATAGAGGATTTACCAAAAGACTTCAATAAGAATTTTGTTAGATAAGATGTGAATGAATTGGTATCAGCATCATTAGAAGGGAGTACCCTTACCTAAGGGATCTTCAGTCAATCAAAGTACAGAAATATTTCATGAGAATATAGCATAATCCTATTCAGCATGGCAAAGGGAAAGAATCAACAACAGGAAATTACAGTATTAATATTAAAATAGGAAATAAGGAAAACATTTAATGAACAATTCAAAAGACTCCAACTGGCTGACAGTGACAGATGGAAGCACCATGTATTGGCTGGCGTAATTTTTCTGTCACTCATGTAGTTAGGCTTCATACAAAGGAAGAAAAGAAGAGGACCAAGAATAGAACCTTGGTGAATGCCCATATTTAGGGGAGCAAAAAAAGAAAAAAGAATCATCAGAGCTAGAGAAGGAGTGGAGACAGAGGTAGGAGGAGATGGGGTAGTGCAATGTCACAGGAGCTGAGGGGGTGTTTAGCAATGAAGTCACTGTCAAATGCTTGAAAGAGGCTGAAGAGGATAAGGCTTGAGAAAAGGCTTAAGTGCTGTAAAGTTTAACTATGTTACCCTACAGCTCAAAAAGCTTAGGCCCTTCTCAGTATGGCTCCAGCCTATCTTTCTAGGCTTATTACAAATTATTCCCCTTCATGCACTTATTTGTTGTTATTTTATCCCACCCTTAACAAAAATCAGTTAAAATGAGCCCTTTTGTATATGCCATAGAATAGAGTGGGTTGTCCTGGACACTGCAGATTTCTTTTATGTACACAGCTTATTTTTCTTTTAGTTTGTATAATAATAAATTCAACATGTTACTTTCAAAGCTGTCCTACTTATCTGTGACTCCTTCTGGCCTTCTCTTCTGTACATTTCAAAAACATGTTTCAATAACCTTTTCTTTCTTTTTTTTTTTCCCTATCCTTAGCTTTCCTCTCCCTTCCCGTCTTCAATCCCCAATTGAGAAAAATGAACAAAACCTTTGTAACAGATTTGTACAATCAGCAGTCAAATGGGAGAGATGGAAGATGCCTGAGGGAAGATGGATCAAAAAAGCAGCATCTCAGGGTATACAACAAAGACAGAGTAGAGGGGGACTTAACCATCATTGAAGTAATAGGGAAGGAGAAGAATTAGGTAGAAGCACAGACAAAATTTTGATTTTTGGAGGAGGGGAATGGAGGTGGTTCATATTCAGTAGCTTAGATCTTTGTTAAAATAGGGAATAAGTTCATCAGCTAAGAGCAAGGTGAGCAGGGCCAGGATTTGGGCTTGAAAATAGTAGAAATAGAGACCACCACATTTCCACTTGTGCTACAGAGAAAAAAAGTAGGACTTTTGACAACCCACAGTTTGTTTCTATCTTTGGGCCCTGAACTATATATAGATAGATAGATAAATATAGATATATATTTTTGGGTGAGACAATCAGGGTTAAGTGAGTTGCCCAGGGTCACACAGTTAGTAAGTGTTAAGTGTCTGGGGCTGGATTCGAACTCAGGTCCTCCTGACTCCAAGGCTGGAGCTCTATCCACTGAGCCACCTCACTGCCCCTGGGCCCTGCACTATTAATCAAGGTTCCTTTTGCAAATTTCAGCAACTCTCCTAAAGCAGTATTCCCTTCCCTGGGGTCTGTGGACCAGGGCTGGGAAAGAGAGCAATAATATTTGGATCCTCCACGACGATTTCCAGTTTGACCACCGTCAAATGCACGTGCTGGCTCTAGACGCCTTTCACCAAGAGCATTACTAAGCCTCTTCTTTTAAAACAATAAATAAAACATGCTCCTCTCACTTCTTTTCTTCCTGCCCACTCAGCTAATTAAACCAAAGAGGCTTAGCTTGTTTACCATCTCCTGAGTCATCTGCTGATGGCCACTTTCAGAGACAGAATAGGAGGGCAGGGCTTTCCCTATATCAGCTGTTCTCTTCTGCCACCTGCTTCCTCCTTCCTCCTCCTGCCTCCAACTACCCCAGCACCCCAGACAAATTTAGATTTTTTTTTTTTCAGGAGTGGGCCCTGAGACATCATGGTATAGTTAAGAGGCAGGCACTGCATAGTGAGGGGAAAAAAAAGAGCTTTTCTTAGAGTAAGAAGATGGATGTTCCACCAAACTCTGATGCTTTCTAGCTGACCTTGGGACAAGTTATTTGATCTTCCCAGGCCTCTGTTTCTTTTTCTACAAAATGGGTTATTTATGAGGAAAGTACTTTTCAAATCTTCAAGGACCATATAAATGTGAGCTGTTTTTATCATTTTCACCTGGAAAACAGAAGCCGGCCACATTCAGCATAGCTCTCAAAACTTTGCAAGGACTCAGTCTGGCCAAGTGTGCTGATTCCTGTGTCTGATAACTCCAGAGCTACCATGGCCTGATTATGTGATAGCATAAGACATCAGGCTGAAAAGTAACAAGGCTAAATGGACCTAAATAAAAATGTAAAGAGAAGTGGAAGTTATAACTCTCATCCTTGGTGCTGAAGTTGCTAAAGAAACCTTAACTGACTCATGTCTCTGGTGCATGGTGGGAAGCCTGAAGGAAACCATTAGAGAGCTGGCACCTCTCTCAGATTTGTAAATGTTCTGGGTCCCCAGCAGTAAATGAGAGAAGCATTGTAGAATAGAAAGAGCCTGACACTTTGAGTCAGAAGACCTGGATTCTAGTGTCAGTTCTGTCTTTAACTCATGGGGTAACCTTAGGAAATCATCTTCTCCTCTCTGAACTTTCCTTTCCTCATTTGTAAAATGGAGGAGTCAGACTGAAAGGAAGCTAAATGCTGAGGAATTGCAGTGTTCAGTCTTGGCCTCCAGTAAAGAGATGTGGAAGTACCTGTCTGCTTTTGGTAGAGAGGTGAGGGACTGTGGGTACAGAATGCCACATACACTTTCAGACTTGGTTGGTTTCATTTGCTTTTCTTTGTTATAAGAGAGGGTTCATTTGATAGTATAGGGGAGTATAACATCTAGAAATAAGTGTGATATAAAAAGACATATACTTACTAGCTGTGTGATCCTGGGCAAGCCACTTAACCCCAATTGCCTAAAAAAAAAAGATATCTAAGTGCTGTCTTAGATAGCTCATATACTAAAATTGGAATGCTACAAAGAAGATTAGCATGGCCCCTGCACAAGGATGGCACACATATTCGTGAAGCATTCCATATTTTTTAAAGGCATTCATAAAAAAAATTTTAATACAAAAATTGAGGGGAGGGAGGTCCATATTAGATGATGTTCTAAAGGTCATTCTGGTTCTAGTGGTCTATAATTCTATATCACCCTAGAATTTCCGAAACACTTGGAAAAATTTTCTCTCTAGGGTCCCCCTGTCATCCCCATAATAGTACACTTTCTTACCTCCAGGCCTCTGCTTACATTGCTCCCTCTGCTGGAATCCCACTGCTCCTCTCTGCCCATCCAAAGGCTAGCACCCTTCAAGGTCCAGTACATGGTCCATTCCCACCTTGAAGTTTTCCCTAAACCTTCCTAACTCACAAGGATCTCTTCCTCTTTTGAGCTTTCATAGCACTCATTTTTACCACTCATTCAGCAATTAGTCACGTTTATTGTAATGTCTTGTGGTTTGGGTTTTTTGGGTTTTTTTTCTTGTTTAATTTTACATGTGTTTAGTTTCCTATGTTTTTCTCACACAACCACTATGCTACTTCAGGCCCTAGTTACCTCTCACCTGGAGTACTGAAGTAACCTTCTAATTGGTATCTGTGCCTCAAGTCTCTCCCCTGGTCCTTCCTCCACACAGCTGCCAAACTGACTTCCCTAAGGCACATGCTTGACCATGTCACTAGCCTACTCAGTAAACTACAAAAGCTCCCTGTTGCCTCTAGGGGAAAAAATGCCTATATTTGGCTTTTAAAGCCCTTCACAACCTGGCCTCAAACTGTTTTTCCAGTCTCTTAGTAAATGTACATATTTCTCCTCATCCCACCAAACTGGCTTTTCCTCTATTTTACACGTGCAATACTCCATTTCCCATCTCCCTGCCTTTATATTAGCTATTTACCATGCCTGAAATGCAATCTCTTCAAACCTCTACCCTATAGAATCTTTTGCTTCCTTGAAGACACAGCTCAAGCATTACCCTCTGCAGGAAACCTTTCCTAATCCCCCTACCTGCTAACGTCCTCCCTAACTACCTAACTACCTTATTTTGTATTCTATTCATCAACAAGCATTTATTAAGCTCCTACTATGTTCTAGGCACCATGCTAAGTGCTAGGGATACAAAGAAAGGCAAAAGAAAACCCTTGCCCTCAAGGTCAAAGACACTAAGATTAGGGAGGATTAGTAAAGGATTCTTGTTAAAGTGGGAAGACTTTAACTGAAACATAAGAGAAACCAGGAAAACTAGAAGGTGGAGATGAAGAGGGAGACAGTTCTAGGCATGAAGGACAGCCAGAGTTGGGAGATGGAGTATGATGTGGGAGGAGCAACAGGGAGGTCAGTATCATTGTCATTCTGTATATGCTGAGAGAGACAGAGACAGAAGGGGTGGAGTGGAGGCAGGAGGAGAGGACGAAGTAGGGGGGAAGGCAGCATGACATAGTAGATAGAGGTGGCCTAAGGCCAGGAAGACCTAGGTTCAAATCCTGGCTCTAACATATACTGCCTCTGGGATCCTAGGAAATCCAATGTTACAAGCAACTTTCTAAGACTATAAGTTCCGGAAAAGGTGCCAACATGCATTGGTAGAGAGAGTTTACTCACCCCAGATTCCCCTATATCAATGAAATCACAGGTCTAATCCTCATTCCTATCCCTATGTTTATATATGTTCGTATTGTCTCCCCTGGTGGAATATAAGCTCCTTGAGAGTAAGGAATATTTCATTCTTTGTCTTTATATCCCCTTTGCCTAGCACGGTGACTGGAACATAGGAGGTACTTATTAAATATTTGTTAATTGGCTGATTGATCAATTGAAATCGACAGTATATGCAGCCTCTGCTCTGATAGTCTCACCTAACCTTGGAAAGAAGGAGAGAGATGCACCTTCTCTCTTTTGAAGGGTCAGGCTTGATTATTATCATTTTACAGATTCTGTTTTGATTATTTTGTTGTCATTATTCCCATTTATACTGTTGTAGACACTGTGTATATTGCTTTCCTGGTTCTGCTTACTTCATTCTGCATCAGTTCATATGTCTTCCCATACTTCTCTTTACTTTTCATATTCATTGTTTCCTGTGGTATGATAATAATATGTTGCTAGTGAGGTTATGAATTGGTCTGGCCATTCTGGAAAGCAATTTGGAATTTTTCAAAGAAAGTGTATAATTTCCATTACCTTTGACTCAGAGATTCTTCTGCTAGGTGTATATTCTAAGGAGGTGAGTGAACAAAAAAAAAGGTACCATATCCCCCTAAATATTTATAGCAGCTCATTTTTAGAGTAGCAAAGACTGGAAATGAAATATTTTCACATAGTTTGAAGAATGTCTAAATAAGTTATGGAAAATCAATATAATGAAATATTGTTGCACTGTAAGAAACAAATATGATGAATACAGAGAAACATAGCAAGACTTATATGAACTGATGCAAATTGAAGTAAGCAGAGCCAGAAAAACAATATACACAGTGACTACAACATTATAAATGGAAACAATGACAACAAAATAATCAAAACTGAATACTGTGAAGTGATAATAATCAAGGTTGGCCCTTCAAAAGAGTGAAAGTGAATGTCTCTCCTTCTTTCTAAGGTTGGGGACCACAGTAGTGTAAATGGAAATAGTAACTACAGCCAAACAATCAAAACTGAATGCTGTGAAATTACGAATACTAAGCTTGAACCCAAAGAGATATGAGAACACTTGTACCTCCATCACCATTTCTTTTCAGAAGCTAGGGACTATGGATGTGGAACATTGCATCTTTTGTCAGACTTTTTTTCCATATGTTGGCTAGTTTTGCTAAACCATTTTTTCCTGTTAAAATTTTTTTTATAACAAAGATGACCCTCAAGGAGTAGACTAAGAGGATGTAGGTTTTGTAAAAACAAAAGTGATCAACAAAAAAATTATTTTAAAAAATAAACTCCTATAGCTGTCTATTACTTGGATAGCTCTTAATGGCCTTCAGAACCATGTTTTAATCTAGCTTTCCAGGTTTATTGTACATTATTCCTTCTCACATATTCTCAGTCTTGCCAAAGTGGCCCTCTTACTATTTGTCATAGAGGACATTACCTATGTATTGGAGTTCCCTGCTTTTCTACAAGCTATAACTCATGCTCAGAAAGAGCTCCCTCCTCACCACAGCCACTTAGAATTCCTAATTTCCTAAAAGAAAAAAACATCTTTATCCTGTGTCTTTTTCATATAACCTCAGCTACTTGTGCATACCTTCCCTCTCCACTCCCCACGACCCCCCAGGGGAAAAGAAAAACCTTTTCTACTAATTTTTATCTACACTTTATATGTGCATGTTATCTACTCCTGTAGAATGTAAGCTTCATGAGGGCAAGATCAATTTTCATTTTTTTTCTCTGTGTCTCCAGGGCCTGGCACAAAGAAGATGCTTAATAAATTATTGATTGATTAATTGGTAGACTATGAACTCCCTTAATGACAGGGCTTGTATCATATTTCCTTTCCTTTGTAATCTCCAACAACCACAGCTAGCACAAAGTTCTACATAATAGGTAGGTGACAATATCACAATTTTTTAAAGAAATGAAGAATCAGTAGGGAATGTAGACTTTGCTACAGGCTGGTTCTTCAAGGATTTAATTTGCTTCTGAGTCTGGGAACAATGACAAGAGATAGCTAAAAATTCGGTCTTACCACATTCTCTGGAAGAATTTGGTTTCTTCATAGTAATAGCTGAGGTCTACAGTTTCAGTTTCTATGAATACTACAAGCTTACTATATGCCCAGCCCTGTGCTAAATGCTTTAAGGGTTATAAAAAGGATTCCATAATATCTCCTCTGTCTATTCATAACACAGCAGAGAATAAGGAAGTAAAAAAAAATGAGGTAATCAATCAACAACCATTTATTGAGGGCATATGAGATACTGCACACTGGTATGCCCAGTGCTTTGTATCCCAGTGTAGATAGAAAGAAAAAAATACCAACAACAAAACAATCCTTGCCCTCGAGTATATTACATGCTAATGGGACAGAAAAACTTATAAATAGGTCCATACGAGATACTTAAAGAACAGACAGAAGGTACTTTTAGAAGAGATGGCATTAGCAGCTGGGGATACAGGAAAGGCTTCTTGCAGAAGGTGGGATTTGAGCTGAGTCTTAAAAGGAAGCCAGGTAAGCTGAGTCAGAGGTGAGGGGAAATCTAGGATGTAAGGACATGTTATCTACGCATCTCAGTAGGCCCTCAGGACATCACAGTTTATACCAGTATAATAATTTATACCCATTTTGATGATCCCTAAGTCATCAAAAAGAGATTCAGTTATGTACTGTTTAAGAAGGTACATTAAGGCCCAATGTATCTTAGATACATTTCCCATTTGGAGAGCAATTTGTAATTATGTCCAAAGAGTTATAAAACTGTGTGTACCCTTTGACCCAGCAATACCACTGCTAGGTCTGTTTCTCAAGGTGATCAGGGAAAAGGGAAAAGAATCTGTATGTTCTGAAGTATATATGGCAGCTCTCTTTGTGGTGGCAAAGAATTGGAAATTGAGGGGATGCCCATTAACTGGCGAATGACTGAATAAGTTGTGGTATATGATTGTGATGGAATACTACTCTACTATAAGAAATGATGAGCAAGGTACTTTCAGAAAAACATGGAAAGACTTGTGTGAAATAATTCAGAGTGAAACGGGCAGAACCAAAAGAATGCTGTATACAGTGTGAGCCATATTGTTTGAAGAGTAACTGTGAATGACTAAGCTGTTGTGAGTAACATGATCATTCAAATCAATAGTGAAGGACTTATGAAGGAAAATGCTATCCACTCCCAGAGAAGGAACTCAAAGATGACAGGATGTATTCTGTGGTTCCATATATAGAGATATACATACACAAATATGCATATTTATATCAAATGTCAGCCTTCTCTAGTGTGGGATTGGGAGGGAGGGAGAGAGACAACTTGGAATTCAAAATATAACAGAAAATATATGTGTGTATTATATATATATGTATATGTATATTTTAAAAAATACATTCCCATATC